TTACCTATAACGTACATATACCCACCCACCCCTTCGCGCGTGTACAGTAGTCGTGTGAAAGGAAAACCGAGGAAGGCCATGCACAGTGTGTATAGTCAATTTCGTGAACGTGTTTCTTTTTACGATCATCTGTTATCGAACTTTTGCCTCTCGCGCGTACAAACTCGTGTCCGATAGCACGGCTCAAGCTCGCTCGCAAGCTCCGGTGCATTTGCGCGCTGCGGAGATAAAAGAAGCTAAAAAAAAGCAGGAAGCCGCGCGCCGGTGCAGCAGCTCTGATTACATTTGCCCCCCAAAGTGCGCCATTGATTTTTGTTTAAACGCCCAACCAGCCGCGCGCTCGCGTATTTTTCCAGCTGAGTTTACGCGCTTAGATGTAACGCACCCGAATAAATACACAAAAACATTCGATACGCTTTTAGCTCGTTGGCTTTATTTTTCTAATGTGAGATCAGAGAGGCAAAGAGGTCAAAAATAACACTGCGTGCCTAGCTTTGGTACGCTGGACACAATAATAGTCGAACGTGCGGCTAATATAAGCTGCGAGCGCTATACGGGGGAGTAAACTTGTATATGTTAAAAATTAACGTCGGACGCGCTTAAGCAGATTATAGCCATCTCATAGACATAATACGTCTAATTTTGTAATCCATGCATCCGACCAAGCAATTACGAAAGTCAATTATAAGTTGTGCAGTACTCGTGGGAGCTGGAAATTAGAATTTCCATTATAATGACAAATATTCAAACTTATAATACGCAAGCTAGCCGTGAACCATGATAGTTGTGTATTATGACGCAGTAATATGATTCTGTCTCTCTGTATATGTGTAATATATTCATAGGGTATATATGACATTTTGTTCCAAAAAAATTTTTTCTCTCTGAAATTCCAACGCTTGTGTAGATAAGTGAAAAAGTTTTTCTATCGTGATTCATCGTATTCAAATAAAAGAAACTATAGAGAGAAAGAGAGGGAGACAGAGAGAGAAAGAAAGATAGCTCGTACGTTAAATCCGAATTATACGAAAAATACATTCAATTCTTTTCAGTTTTCCGCTCGTATGCCTACACGGCGCTTACAACTTACCGACGCAGCGTTATCGGACTGTATATCGGGAGCGGGAGAGAGCTTTTTCGTATACGGCCGGGATAGATCCTTGGATTGGATAAAGAAAATGCAAAAAAAAAAAAAACAACAGAAAACTTGCAGTGTATCGGAAGATAGGCATTTGAGCGGGCATGTGTATGTGTATGTCCGCGTGTATAAACTGGACGAAAACGTTTATTCCGCCAGCTATGCAGAATTCGAGCGGGCGTGAGATGGAAAGCAACACGAGCGCCAGAGTGAAATAGGATAAAATGAAGAGAAGAAAAAAAAAAAGAAGTGGAAAAGAAGAAGGGCCATAAAGAAGTTGGACACATGGAGAGTAGAAACAAGTAGGAGGTGGCTCTCTCTCTCTCTTTTTACATACATAGCAGTGCAGAGTCGGTGAAAAAGAACAAAACGCCGCGCGCCACCCGAGCAAAGTAGCAGAGCAGTACGTAGAAGCGCAGCAGTACTTGAAATCTCCGAGGAGTAAAATGGAATACGGACTCGTTGAATTTCTACACCACGCTATGTAAATTCAATGCCAAGTGCGCATTCGTGCCAGAATAGACCAAAAGAATGTGTGTCTTTGTGTGTGTCTGTGTCGAAATATCGACAGAAGTTGCGACCAAAACAATCCCTCAGCAGCACATAGATAAAATAAATGTATATACACGCTCACACATACGTGCGGCATATATAAGGATAGATGTTACTGGCGCGCTCGCTCAACTGTTACGGGCGCGCGTACACACACACCCACATACCCACCAACCCCCCAAACATGCACAAAATATATGTACGAACACACACTCGCGCCCGCGCGTGATATGTGCACGAGAAAAATAACAGATTCTCACCTTACTCTTCGTGTTTCGCTGCTATATATTTACTACTACTGGCACACGACTATACACTCACCTCGCTCGCGTTGAGATTTTCGATAATCCGATATGCAATTTTCATGAACATCGAATTTTAAAGCTATGACGTCAAGTCCTTTATTCTACGCTACGAGCGCGAGCTTGCGCGGTCGCTCGACCAACTTGCTCGTGATGTCTGGGTTGTATAAAAAGGCATCAGAATTACGCAAATTATAACGAACATCCGAATGCGACGTCTAGCTTGTGAAGAAGAATTTCGCATTATATTTCGTGTGTCAAGAAAAATAAATAGTCTCGTTCCGCGAGCTTTTCTGAAAGCTCGGCCAGCAGCGATCTACAGGTCGAGGATAAGTCAAGACACGCGTATCCCAGAGAGTTTTGACTCGACACATCGATTCCGTGCGCCCTCTAATTAAATATCCCCAAAGGGCGTGGACGCGCGTCTGACATTGGTACTGCTCGTTTACACAGGCGGTAAGCCGTGTATCGCTATTCGTCGAGTAGCGGTGCGAGATATATTAGCGTAATCCCAGGCGCTTGCGCTACCTATATTACATATACGCGCGTAACACACAGCGACGACGTAGTACAGATCTTCGTGTGCGGGCGCACGTTACGTATTATCTATACATAATATTGTACATTATATTACACGCGAAGCAGTACGTCAGGCTTGGATTCCAACTTTGCCATCGCCAGCCAGCCAGCCAGTACCGTGGCCGTTATACATCCACGACGCAATTTACATAGGATAATCGTATACGACTGAGAGTCACAGCGCTCGAGCTATATACGTATACACACATTCGGATATGCGGACAAGGGCATGGCTATATACACTCGATGCCTCGGTGTAGAGGCGGTCTGTATATACGCGATAGGTGACGTATATCTAGAGACACGCTGAACACGACGACGACGTGAATATTACAGCAACTTTTGTAATGTACGATGTAACTATATACGATGGAGCTTTATAATGTTGTACGACGTTGTGCAGCTTTTTAAGAGGGGTGCATGAGATTAAACACGTCGATGCATTGGATTTTCGAACGAGAATACTTCAAATTCCAAAAGCTCTATATTTATTTATTTTATTTATTTATTTTTGCAATCTTCACTTCACGCGCCCGAACTAACTGAATTTTTCGTGTGTAAACTTGCCAATGTCCACAGTAATGGATTTCGCGCTCGATCAAGTTGCTTTTCACGCGGCACATGTCTAACACGAGACGCGCGTGCGAATGCATTGTTGCCGCGGCTTATAACACAAAAGCGCAAGATGCGCGCTCGCACAGACTTTTTTGTTTGTCCACGCAGTTCATATTCTCCGACGATCGTTTGTTCTCGCGCTGCAGAAAACAATTGCCATATTAAATGGGGCCAGCGATTTTGCGTAATGAAAAAGAGAGGCGTCAGTGAGAGAGAGAGTACCAATACAGAGATTACTCCCATTTAATTATTGCGCTATGAAAACTCGCGCGATACATTCAATCGATTGGAAATAAAAACAAACTGCGCGTTAAAATGGAATAAAACAATAATTAGTTTTACCTTGTTGTGATCAACTCGTTAAGAGGATATACAAATGAACGTCGCGCTTTTTTATTTATCGATCTCGCTTGTACCCGAGTTGTTCCATGCTTTATGCTGCCTTTTTTCTTCCTTTTTAATAGGTCACTACGTTATGAATTAATTCACAGAGGGAACAAAAAAACTCGGAAAGATAATGAAACTCGAGTACGGAAAATTTTGTTTTACAATAGACCACAGCTACGATCCCTTAGGCATGAAAATGTCACAATTCTGGGCTTTATTTATTTCTGAAAACTGCGCGTACTGTATGCAGTCCTTAACTCGGGGACTTTGAATCGTCTTTTTTTGTCGTTTTGATACAATAATCTTTGCAAAAAAATGTTGAATCCGAATATGGAACAACGTGGGTAATTTACCGTAAGTAGATAAGAGGCCAAACTTGCCCAATAAATCAGATTTGTCACTGCGGTATACAAACTTTACATACCGAATCGAAGTGGACCTGTACAGATATAATTCACGTGTATCTGTAAAGCCCATTTTTTTAGACGCATAAAAAGCTACGTACGATATTCACTCGTATTATACATTTTTTAAAATAAAAGTTTAATCAATCATTGAATTTATTATTATTTTTAAAATGTTTCATTACGCGTGTGCAGCGAAAAAAGATATCGATATGTATAAGATAACTTTTATGTGAGAAACATAATAATCATCTTGTCAATTTGCAAAAGTTTTCTCGTTACACTTGAAGGGAATACTTCGGCGTCCCGAGAGAGACACACCTTCTTGAAAGTGATATAGAAAGCGAGAGGGTAGGGAGCAGAAAAAAAGCACCTGAACTATATCCGTGAATCAACGTGGCTTGTGAGCATGAAAAAAAAAAAAAAAAGAAAAAGATGAATATACACACTTTCACAATTACGCCATCAATTACAGCTCTCGCGGATCGTTAAGGCTTGCAACCCACAAGAGCACACTCGTGCAAACATGCACTGCACGTATAATATAGCGCTCACGAGGGCTCGCACGAGAAAAGTCGAGCGCACCATGTGTGTGCAACCTTTTCAAGTAGATTCACTGCACACACAGACCGAGTTGAGCACGCGCGCGCCGGGTGCTATGAATATTGCAAAATAAAACGTAAATAAAAAGAAGAGCGCGAGAGACTCGGTGATGAAGAGCGCAAGAACGCGCGAGGAAAAAAAACGTACGAAATACGTCGTCTACGCAGTCCGATTGAGCAGTCGCTCCCACAAGGTGGACCCTTCGCGCAGCTCGACAATCCCAATTTTCCGAGCGCCACTGCTCGTGTATACGCCGACCTTGGCAAGGTCAAGCGGAGAAAGTGAGCCGCGACGCATTAAAACACGCGCTCGCTTGTAAATTGCGCAGCAGATTTGTCACTCGCGCTCTAGCTCGTGCACGATCACAATTAAAGGGCGACAATGAGATTATGCTGTAGAAAAAGAACTGCTTTGCTTTACCTTCGTTCTCGTTGTTGCCGATAATGACCTCAGTCTTGTCGAACTCGGCCTCGCGGGCCATTTCCACGGGGTCGCGAGGCAGAAAGATGCCGTCGATCGTCGGCGCCGACGGGAAGCCCAGTATGCCCCCGTAGCTGTTCCACTGCTGCACCGATATGGTCTTGGGCTCGATGTTGCGCATGCAGGCCATGACCTTGGCGGGATTGTCCTCGAGCATGGTGGCGTTGCAGCCGCAGTCCTCTACGAGGACGCGGCCCACCTCGTTGGCTCGCTCGCCGGTCATGTAGGACCAGGGCGCGTTCAGGGTGCCGCTCTGCAGGATGCCGCGCTTGATCAGGCCCTTGGTCACGGGCGACATGAGGTGCAGCGACACGGAGCCGCCCCCGGCCGACTCGCCGAACATGGTGATGAGCTCGGGGTCGCCGCCCAGCACCCGGGCGTTGTCCTTGAGCCACTTGAGGGCCATGGCCTGGTCCCACAAGCCCATGTTGCCCGGTGCGTCGTCGTCGTCGCTCGGGTCGAAGTACTGCGCGAGATAGAGGAAGCCGAAGGCCCCGACGCGGTACTGCATCGAGGCGATGATGCAGTCGCAGCGCGCGGCCATGAGGTCGGCGTCGTACACGTCGAGGGTCGCCGTGCCGGTCATGTAGCCGCCCCCGTAGACCCAGACGAGGATGGGAACGCCTCGGCGCTCCTCCTCCGGGTTGGCGCCGTTCTTGTGGCGCAGCCTGATGCGCCTCGGCACCCAGATGTTCATGTAGAGGCAGTCCTCGCTCACGTTGGTGTTGGGATTCCACATCTCCTCGCCCTCGAAGCCCGGGAAGTAGTCGTAGCGCTCCTGAATGCAGCTGTTGGGCATTCGGGTGGCGTTGAGCACGCCGCGCCACGGCTCGAGGGGCTCGGGCTTGCGGAAGCGCAGCTTGCCCACGGGCGGCTTGGCGAACGGCACCCCCAGATAGGTGTGCACCTCGCGGTCCAGGATGCTCTTGGCGCTGCCGCGCATCGGGCCCGACATGGTCTCGACGTAGGTCGGGTCGTCGAGGTACTCGTCGTCGATGCCGCCGCGAGCCGATCTGCCGCCGTAGCCATAGTGCAGCTCGTCGCGCTTGCTGTTGCTGTTGGCCTTGGACTTGCCGAGCGGATTGGACAAGGTCGCCAGTGGCAGCAACAGGAGCAGCAGCGACAGAAGCTGCGTGAGCGTGTTCAACCGGCCCATGGTGTCTGGCTCAACAAGTCTACGCTGCTACGATTTTCTCGAACTGTACGATCGAGCTTGCGGAGCCGATCGCTACGATCAGCTAATGCCAAGTGCAATAATCGTTACGGATGGTCTCGCGCCTGGAAAATTGTGTCGTCGTCGCTGCTGCTGCTGCTGTTACCAGCAGTGCTGCTGGCATTCGTTCTGGAGGCTTTTGGCTGCCCGACTATTACTGGCCAGTGTGTACGTTCAAGTTCAATGTCTAAGCGACGGCGCGCTCCACGGGCGCGCGAACTTCTGCGCGGACATCCGGCGCACACTCGCGAGAACCGCACCTCTCGATCACCGAAATCGATCGCGACCGAGCACGCTACTGCTGTTCTTGCTGATGATGAGCTGATTTCTTGCTAGATCGTCGGTTCGAACTTTCGAGTACGAACGCGCACGAGTCTCCCCGACTCCGATCGATTTCCAAAAACTTTTCCCCCTTTGCCTTTCCTTCGATTATTTTATCCTAAACACGCACTTTGATTAAACAACGACACAATTCTTTCCTTCGTTTATCGCGATCGAACTGCACCGACTATCCTAATGATAATCCGACACTGTACGTAGGGTACACGTATGCACGTATATACCGCGTGTATATGCTACTACGCGAGGACAATCGCTGCGAATCGCAATGTATATAATGCGCACACGACGATCTAGACGTATAGCAAGAGAGAACTAACTGGGCGAGCGCGGAGAGGCCACACCAGCGTGCCGCGGTTGCACGGGGTCGACTGATCGTCGTTATAGTGGCTCTCGCAGCTTTTGCTCGCTTAGGCGGACGCAAGCGCGCGCGCGCGCCTTTCAACCTGCTGCTGCTGCTGCTGCTGCTGCTACTGCATGTATATACGTATCTGTATGCTATATAGCACTGCTAGATCGTGCACAGCTCCGACTCTTCGCCGTACGGCGCCCGCGCGGCAACCCGCCCTGCTGCCAGCCTGCCTGCCTGCCTGCCTCATGCCTGCTGCATCTACACACGCCGCTATATAACATACATACGTACTACGTATGCACTGTATGTGGAATAGGCACTTATATATATGTGCTTGAATGTGGCTACTGCCTATGGGTGTGTTTACGTGTTCCTGTGAGTACAGAGCGAATCCTAGACGATAACTGTGCTACTGTATATCTACCTTCGAGCATTCGCGTGACGAGCTTTTACCTGGATCTACGCGCGCTCGAAGAGTTTGTACGCCATGCCACACACATGCAACACATACACATGACACATGCACACACACACACACACACTCTTTGGGATATGAGCTTGCGGTACACTTATTATTAAAACACGTCTGGTGCGATGCACTGCAAGCTCAGGGGCGATTTTATTTCGAGTGCTGCTACAGGATACGTGTCTGGTGTGATCAGGCGCGAGGGTTTAATTTAATATTTAATTCCAATGGCGTGTACAACACGACCCGTGAGTTTATAAGCTCGTAAATTGGTGAAAATATATTGTTTTATATTATTATCATTATTATTATTATAACACGTCGAAGCAGCAAATAAATCAAGTATCAAGTGTGCGTCATTATGCCCAAGTCGTTTGCGGCTGAATCTCGGGCATTAAAATGTATGCGATACATCGACCGGCTAACGCAATTCGTGTGTACGTGTTTGTATATAAAATAATCATCGCTCTCAATCATCCGGAGCGAAAAATGATACGATATTTCTCTCTCTCTCTTTCGTTCTCTCGTGCGATCGTGTCTCGGCATCAGAGAAAGAGCCAAACAGAAGCAGCAGCAGAGCTATTACGCGAGCGCTCGTGTGTGTGATATACTATACGTACAAGTGATACGCCGCGCTAAACGATTCGTCGTATCCGCCTTTTTAATACACACAGACACATACTCATCCGACGGCGTGTATGTACATTTAACCATCGCGACGGCTCAAAAGATATAACATTGCGTCTTGAAATTTCTGATCGTGACCTCGTGCGTGTGAGAAACTATTGCGGTTAGTCGTCGTCGTCATGCAGCATGTGTGTCTGTGTATCTGTGTATGTGACGCTGCGTCGCACAGTGTATGTATGTTCCAATGGCCCGTAACGAGTGATGCCTGCCACTCTGATGATGATGGCACATGCATAAACGACGATGATCGCCCGGCGCGTTGCTGCTGCTATACGTACACTGTACGCTGTACAGCGCGTATAAACGGCTGACGCGCGTATCATCTTTTGCGGCGTATTATATAGGGAGACGACGAGCGACGACGCAAACAAAGAGAACGAATATATATTGTGCACGCGCAAAATTCGTATCTAACGAACCTCTTCCGCTGCTGATGCATAAATGTATATGATGTAGAAATTAGGCGAAAATTTGATATGCGGGCCTCTGGGTGTGAAACTTTGAGATATTCGTTCGATGCTTGCGCTATCGAACGAATAGGCTGTGACACAGCGGATTGTATCGAAAGTACATTGTAATACAGGAGTCCCTCATTATACGCGGGGGTTACGTTCCTCAAAAGTACCGCGTATAACAAAACCGCGGATAATAAGACCTTACTCTTATGGGAAAGAGAGGGTTACGTTCCTCAACCTCGAGAAAGCACAGTTTATATGTGGCCGATTCTCTGTGAAATCGAATGGCCAAAAAATTTTTTTTTCTGCAAATATGAAAAACTTGCTGTTCCCGATGTCAGAAATGTCCCCAAATTTTATTAGAATTTTTGGGACCATCTATCACTCTTTTTCAGGGGCCCGAAGTTGGCCATTTTAGGGTTTTTTTGAAATTCATGAAAAATCACAAATATTCAA